AAAAAAAAAAAAACAGCTAGTTTTCAACAAGCAGCAATAGCCCCTCCATTTCTTAATCCTTTGCTTCATAATAGCAGTCTACAGGTAAATTTGAACCTACAAAGAGAAAAGTTTTGCGCGATAGTCCCAAAAAAAGATGAGTTATTTTGTCACAAATCTGGTTGCCTAGCCTCCCCCAGAACACCAAATATTCAAAGCCTTTTTTTCAAAATAAGCCCTTTTTGCTTATTTAGACCCATTTATGAGTCCTGTTACTATAATGCAATAAAATCCCGAAAGTTCCAAGATAACATATATAGCAGCCCCTACTCAGTGAAATATCTCATCGTGGTCCAGGAGTAGCAGTGTACGGGATTAAGTGAAGGTTCTCAAAACACATCAAGAACATCTCAAAACGACTACGGGTCTACCAAGTGATATGCAAGGAGCACCACTGCGCTAATAATCCCCTCGGAAGACGAAACGAATGTCGGAACGGCCAGCAGGTTGACTAACAAACGATGCAGCATCGGCTACGTAAGCCGAAGGAATTAAGAACTGTAAAACAAGAAAAACCGACCGTAAATTACAGCCGATCCAACTATTCCAAGCACATTAATTAATAAAATTTCAAGTTTAATTCACCGCCGAAAAATTACTAAGGAAAGCACTACAGCTGCATTTTTACGCAATAACAGTAAAAATTAATTTACATTACTCGCAAACTCAAATTTGTTCTAACTCAAACCTTTTTTGTGTGTTAAAATCTTACTTATATTTAGCGGGAATGGAACAGGGGGCAAAGTTTTTCTCATTTCAAGTCTTGGCAGGGAAAAATAAACTTACATTTGCTTTTTTGTCGATTGGTTTGATAACAAATTTCTTGTCATTGAATGATATGTTACGTATTTCGGACCATGGGAAGCCAACTTTCGGCGTCAGGCGATCGTTCTTCTCATAAATATTGAGGCCGAGAGCGTCGACGCCCAAGAACAGCTCCGTTCCTTTTTTGTTGCGAATTTCGAAATACTAAAAACAGACACGTAGTAAAAAAAAAAAAGTGATCAGGTCTCTTTTTTTTTTCATTTCTAGAAAAGGGGAATTTACAGCTCAGTGCCTATTGACTTTTAGCCCAAAACCTCCATAACTTACCCCCCTAGGAAATTCGAGAAATGCAAGGACGGTTCGAGTGACAGTTCTTTGCTAGCAGCAATTGCTCACCAGCAAAGCTGATGGTTGTTCCCTTATCAGAGAACTGCTCAAAAAATAAGACATATTTGATGTCTTTACCAGCACTAAGAACAGTAGAAATAATTTACTAGGACGAGGTCCAGTTGTGGCACTAGAAAAATATGACTTTATGGACCGAAAGAATTCTTTCTAGCTATAATTCTATTTTTTCTTTATCACAAAGCTTTCGGGGCTATACTCGCTAACTCACAGTTACCAAGCGCAGGCTCAGTACAATATTGACGAAATCGTGCTGCACACTGGCAAAATATGCCGTTTTTTAAACAATTTCCACAACTTAATGTTTTTTTGCCCTCAAAAAATACAATATTTTATCGTCAACCCTTCAGTTGCTTGTTTTTTTTTTTCAGAAAATACAATCAGCAACGGTCTTTCTTCGACTGGATGGTACCAGCAAAGAACTACCACATGAGGCATTTCTGAGTTTCTTCTCCTTTCAAAGACAATGAAATATGAAAGTTGTGACTCCGACAACGCTTCCCAATCACAGAAGCAGTATACAATACCGAAAAAAAAAAAACTAAAGTTTTCCGCACACTTGGAAGAATGAAGCAGAAACTAACGTTAACGCCATACATCTCGAGATCCTGCGCTATCTTCAGATATTCCATCATTGCCTGCTCTCTGTTCGTGTTCTTGTGGTCGGCCCACCAAACCATTATACGCTTTTCCCACTCTTCTGGACTAAAACAAAACAATGATTATTGCATATCACACAGATGGTATGCCTTCGCCTGAGTACACGGCTTTGACTCGTTGTCGCCAATGACCAATCCATCGCCAAAAATCCACAATTATTCAGCAGTATCTGTTAAAAATCAACAAAAAACCCCAAAAATACCGCCAAAACCTCTCAAATTTGCGCAAATTCCTGGGTACTTTAACTTTCACGAAAAGTAATAAAAAACAGGGTGAGGTCAGTGGAAGTGTTAACTTAATTATTGGGAAGAGTGAAGGCTAAATTTTGACAAAAAGTTCGTAAGGAAAAAACCTGTGATGCAAGTTCCGGTAGCAATAACTTTTTTACACCCGAATGAACAAACCTCAATTTGAATTGGCCAATAACCCTTTGCGGCAACAACCGGTCCGACGTAAGACAACCAGGTTTGTGCGTATCCGGACTGTAATCGCCATATTTCGCTTGCATGGCATACGATGCAAGTAGAACTGATGTTTCCGGCGGACAATAAATTTCATCCGAAAGCACAGCATCTTTCACTTGCAAATAGAACAGTCTCTGCAAATATTCAATGTAAATAAAAACACCAAAATGGGGGGAAAAAAAAAAACGGACGAAATGCGATACTTCAAGCACCTCTCTCACACAAATAACGATAAAGAAGCGGAAAAACATCAGCCAGGATCGCACCGCAAAATGTCCACAAAGTGATGCTGCTGCAGTTTTGGGAATAACAACCACAGAGAGCGAGCCAGGGACGATGGAGGCGCATAGAGGTATTGCGAAGAAACAACAGACTCAGGCGAGGAAAAGAATTTGCGCGGAAGGAGGAAAACCCTCTACTCGAGCACCTTCAAAACATTAATGCTTTTGGAAGCTCTTATTATGGCTGTTGGGATCAAAGTTACTTGATCACACAAGCGCTCTCCTACCTTCCTTCTTTGTTATGTTCAAAAAAAAAACGGCTAAAAGTATCACATTCCCTAAAGCAATCATATGGGTGTTCAAATTACACACTTTTCTCTCTCAACCCTTCGAAAAAACAAACATAAAAAAGTAAGGCTTAAATACAGTGAAAAATTTTTAACAACAACGGCCTACGAATGGTGTACTAACTTTGGAATTGAGATTTAACAAGTTTAAAAAGTATTGGAACGATGAAAAAAATAGCTGAAAAACCGGAACGACCTAAATTCTAGTCAAAAATAAAAATTCCTTTCCGTATTCTCTTCTTAAATGAAGGTAAGTAAAAACTAAAAACCCCCGTATGGTAACAAAATCTGGCAATCTGGCAATTCTGCTGGTGCTGCTCTCCCTTCCTCCCTCGATGTTTTTTTTTGAAGCAAGCCAAAGAAGGGTTTGAACCCTCAAGCATATGCCGCCCGCGCCAATTTACCATCGAAACGAATGACCGATTTGTGAGAAGACGACTGTTTGTT